TAATCACATTAATCGTAGTAGTTGGAATCCTAAATTTTATAAAATATTTGAAGTGATATGTTTTTATCATGTTTAGGAAACTGGTACATTCTTTAATTAAAAAAAAAATTCAATTTTAAACAGAAGACCAACATAATCGGTTAAAAAAAAGAAGTCAAATATATTGCTAAAATAAAAAACTTTTTTTCAAATGAAAATGAACTTGAATTTATCTGATATGGAAGGAATCTCATCCAAAATATATTGAACTCATCCAAAACATACTGAATTTTGGAATGAAAAAAATTCAAATTTTCGAAAAAATTTCAAACAAAATATTAGAGGGAAAAAAGTGATTTGAGCGGTAAAATGAAATAATTTTTCAAACATTTTTTTCTCTATATTATATAGTAATAGATATGAATAGGGTCTTGATTATATATGGTCAATTTTCGTTTATTACAAATACAAATATACAATGACAAAACTATCTACATAACTGAATTCATAAATAGATACAAATTAAAATTTTGTACACCTAGAGTTCTGATGGTTGGGTAGACATTGCTACAAATTTTGGATTGTAAATTTGGGTGTTATGAATAATAAAAATATTTTGATGGGTCGAATAACATTATATTACCATAGACGTACTATGTTAGAGTTTTACCTACCAACGATTGAGTCACTCCGAACTAGGCTTGTGGTACAATTAATTATTTTTAACTAAATTTTTAATTCGAATTCAATATTCATAATTCGAATTGCAATTTGAATAAAGTACGAATAATTGGAAATATCCATAATTAATGAATTGAACAATAATATATATGATGTACAACTCTAGTTTCTAGTAGTTGTTGTTCTTAATTTGTTGTGTTGGCTTATAACTAATTTAAATTGTGCATTCCAACAATTCCATTCTTTGCATATATATAGGCAAGTATTAGCGAGTACAATAGTATATTTGAACAAGTATATGTATAAGGCCAGGTCCTTACGTGGTATATATCCAATTGCCATTATTTTGACCTTTTCCATCTTCAAAAACCGGCGGGTTATCTATTTTCCTATGGAAAGAAACACTCCACACGTAGACGCATGGCAAAACTGGGCATACGAGTATATGTAAGATGCAATATCTCAACTCTGACTGGTAATTAAACTGAATTAATCAAGGTAATTATTATTCTGTTTAAATTCAAGAGTTATTCAATTGTCTCTTTTAATTGCTGAACCACTCCATCCATTAATTACTGGAGTTCATATATTGTATTAGGGTAATGGAATTATTTTGATCTGTTCTATTTTAGTATTTTCACAAAATTAAAATATCCTAAGATATTCAAAATTAAAACGACCAGATACTTCTTGCGCCTTGACCACGGTGTATATGTGCGTTTCAGAGTCAACGGAATGGAATCTTTGATTGGTTAAACTAGTGCGTGGCCCGTTCATCAAAATAATATAACGATTGTATTATAAATTAAATATATAAATAACATTAATTATGATTTATTCATTGTTTTTAAATTAAACTGGATTAGACACAGTCCGACCGAATGGACCGAGAGCCGGTTTATAACTAATCTAATTTGCTTGAATAAAATTTTTACTCTCGAATCCGTCAACACCAGTCGGTTGGATTGATAGGATCGATACGATTTTTTAAATAAATTTTGTTATATTTAAAATTAGTTTAAATAAAATTACATATTTAAATAAAATAGATATTTATAAATTATTTATCAATTAGTTTAAACATTTGAATTTATAAATTATTTAGATATCTAAGTAATACATTTTAAATTCATTACAAAAAGTAATATATATATATATATATATATTAAAATATTTATAAATTAAAATATGAACAAATCACAAATAATTTAATAAAATAGCTAGAAAAGAGAAATGGTGCTAACCCCTTCTAAGAAAAGAAGAATTTCGCTGATTCACTGAAATCCCCTATCATGCACTAAAGAATTTGACAGAGATTACTCAACGTCAGTGAAATCCGTCAAATATCTTTTATTTCTTCCAGTGGGAGTGTGAAAGGTTTTTCTCCAGCACGCACCGGAGGTAAGGAGTTCAGACAACAATCTTTCCTAATTCCTAACATATTTAGTTCCTGTACTAGGCTCTTTAATAAATTCTTCTTCGAAGTGGATTTCATACGGCATCGTTTCGATGACGGTCCAGTTCTGAAAACCTTATATTTAATGTATATTAATAAATGTTATAATAAACTAATATTTAATTCACATAAATATTAATAAGATGATATATAAATATTCATAAATCATTAAACATGTTATCATAAAAGTATTGTTAATACGATTATTTGAAGTTTGGACTACATCACATTCACGTAATAAAATATTTTTAATATAAAATTTATATTTAGGTTCAATAATCGATTTGGTGTGGTCGAACTGATACATAAATTAGTCACCTAGGACCAACCAAGTTGTGTCAAGTTTTTTGACTATTTTGAATATCATCTAAAAGTAATTCAATCACCCGATTGATCCGAAGAAATTTTCTTATTTTCTTTAAATATATTTAATTTTATGAAATAAAAATATTTTATGATTCATATAATAAATGTTTACACCAAATGATAGTATATTAAGATTATACTACCTCCTATTCTTTTTAAATGTCATTTTGACTTTATTAACTATTTACCAAATAAATGTCGTTTTGGATCTTTTGTGCACATTTTTCCATTATTACCCTCATTTAGCTAATAAATACACTATGTCTTATCATATTCAATATTCATTTTTTCCCAAAACATCATTCTCTATCTTCATTAAAGAAGGTTATTATTGGCAAAAAAAAAATATTCTTAATTACTGTGCAACTTCTTAAAACGACACTTATTATGAATAGGAGTGAGTAAATTATATATCTAAATATGAATTAATTATTTTTACTTTATGCATATTAATAAAAAATAAACATAGTACTTTTTAAAAAGTTAAGATTAATTGATTGATTGTGCAATTTAAAGAATATTTTTAGCGTTCAATATTTTTTTAAAGGCACAATAATAAAGACCGAGATTCTAAAACTTTTGTTATATTTTGAATTGGAATTTTATAAATATAGAGACTGAGATTTTAATGTTGTTCGTTGTTTCTAAGAAAAAAACAAAAACAAAAACAATCACACTTAATAAATCTTAGCCAGATTTTTTAAAAAATAAAATGAACTAAAGCCCGAAATTTAAGGTAGCATGTAATGTTGTATGATTTTAAAGAAAAAAACTAAGAAAAATAATAAAACTTACTATTTATAAGCTGCATTAAATTCTGACCTATTTTGTTGCTATTATTTTTGGTAAATGATAATTCTTATTATGTATATATAGATATAGATATAGATTATAATATTTCTAAATCTTTAATTAAAGAAAATCGCTATGATGTAGTTCGGGGTCAACTAGAGGGTGGTTGTACTTCTGCGATAGTATAACAATTCAAGAAATTTCATATTTTAGGATCGAAGATGTGTTGTAGTAATTTATTTATTTATTTATTTTTATTTTATTTTTTGTCACTGAAAGTATACAACGACGAAGTATTTCGTCATATTATTTACCACCGTAACCACGTTAGAAAATATACATATGACATTACCTAATTTGTCATTAAAAATTTAAAAATTAACTTTAATTCCTCGTCACCTTATAATAAGAATTTTATCATTGAAATTATTAAGTGATCGCTAAAAGTTCGTATTTAGATGATGAAATAATATTTTGTCATATAAATACTAACTTAAGTGACGAATTTACTACTTTTACAATTGAGATTACGTTATTTAAATATTTAAATTGCTACAAAAAATAATATTTTAAATGATTAATTCGTATTTTGTTATTTAGAATTTTTAAAGAACAAAAAAACATTACTAAATTATTATTTTTTCTAAATAATTTTATTGAATACGATCCCCCACATGACCCACCATAACCTAAACGACAAGTTCCCACACAACCCATAGAACAGACTAGAAAATATTCTTACTAGTATAATACTTTTGTACTACACGGGTGGTAGATAAAATAATTATATGTACAATAAAAATAAAAAATATATATATTTTTTATTGGAGTTGGAAAAAATAAATAAAGAACAATATATAACAATTTATAATAAATAACTAAGTGAATTAACAATATTATTATAAATTCTAAAAACTAATTTATTTACATCATTAATTTTATTTATAACATTTTTATTTAAAACAAATATGGGAATAATATGAAAAAATACAAAATTTGGAAAGTGAAATTATATGCATATTATAAAAAGAAGATAACAAATAGATTTATATTGAATAATTTAAATATATTAAATATGTGTATATATATGGTAATACGAACCTAAGTTATTATGTATAAAAAATTAGTAATCGTTATCCAAGCCATAATATTTTGCCATGTAAGAATACAAAGCGTGCGAAACTGACGCTTAGGTTCAAATTATATATTAGCGGGATTAATTCGTCAACAATAAGACTTGACAAAACAAGCTATAGCTTATTTGGCTACTTACAAAGTGTTTGGTTCGGGGGAAACTGAGGAGAGGGGTAGGGAGGGGAAAGAATTTTATAATTTTCCCTTGTTTGGTTCAATTTTTTGGGGTGGGAGCTCCTCCAAGGGAAAATCTCCTCTCCTCCTGGAGGAATTTGGAAGGAAGGGAAAATTTATCACATAAAATTAATATATTATCTTTCATATGTAAATTATTTTATTATTTTGTTTCTTATATCATTAAAGATATAATTGTCATTTCTACAATATTTTTTTTCCCCTCCCTTATTTTAACCAAACAAGGTTTACAATTTTCTCTCCACTCTCCTACTACAAAATCCCGTAAAATTATTTTACATCACCTCGTTTCCCCTTTTCTTCCTTCCATTAAAATTCCTCCCCTCCCTTCCTCTCCTCTAAGTTAACCAAACATAGCCTAAAACATAGCCACACCTCGTTTCCCCTTTTCTTCCTTCCATTAAAATTCCTCCCCTCCCTTCCTCTCCTCTAAGTTAACCAAACATAGCCTAAAACATAGCCATTATTGATTGATAACGTTAATATATTTTTCACCACAAAGGACACTGGAGAATGCTCTCTATTACTCAAACGATCCCTTCAAATCCCCATAAAATTTCATGCGATTTTACAGGCTTTCACGCTGCTCTTCACCGGCGTTTGGGTTTCTCGGACCTTGTCGTCACCAAATGCGTTTCAAGAACATGACAACTGAAGAAATTAATGAAGCGAGGTTGAGACGATCCCAGATAACTGCTAAGGTCAACAAATTCCAGCAACTTCTTCACTCAGACACCACCAGTAAGTAAATTATAAGCAAGCTTTCAAGAAATGAAAAAAAAAAAAAATGACGTACGGGTGAATATTTCGGTCCTCTTCTGATTATTTGTGTAATTGTTTCTGTAATAGAGGAATTGGGTGTGTTTGATGTTCAGATAACTGGGACAAGTGCTGGGAAGAAGGTTTGACGCCTTGGGATTTAGGGATTCCCACCCCTGTTCTTGTGCACCTTCACAACACAGGATCCCTACCCAAAGGCAGAGTTCTTGTTCCTGGCTGCGGTAGTGTAAGTTTTGTACATTCAGTTTTTCCGTGCTGTGCCTTTGATTTTGAGGCCCTTGTTTCTGTACGTTCTATAACAACAATTTGAAGAGTGTTTAGGTATACGAAGACTGGAAATTTGTAAATTATCCACAAAAATAAGCTGTGGAAGAGTTCGGCTAAAACTACTGTTTTATCTCGGTAAAATTTTCTCATAGAGTCTTTTTGTTTATTGCTTAGATTTGTTAAGATTTGGAAAAGATTCTTTACAATGTGGCTCTTGGTTTTATTTATCAACCATCTTTGAGCACTCTTCATGCTACAGTAATTATACGATTTTTTTACACTTAGTCTCCCCTCCTGTTAGCTTTAGGTCGGCATTTTTGACTTAGACTCACTTTTAGTTATGCCGGCAATTATGGAAAATGACAGGCCTAATTATATATCAACTATTTGTTGGTTAATTCTCTGATCATCCTTTCAGTGAGGTACATGTGTCACTCTTTTGTTGCTGGTTTCAGCTCGGTAGAAACAGCCCTGAGGCAAGCTCCAAAAAATAGGTGTCCTTGGAGCTTATTGTTTACATGAGAATTGTTTCATGGATAAAAATGAATAACCTGCAGGGCATGTTCTAAAAGTGAAATAACAAAATAAAACTTGTTATGTAAGAAACTGCAATGTTGTTCTCCAAGACGAATGCGTTAAACAAAAACTAATAGAAAATTTTGTTTTAGGGAAACTCAGCACAAACAGTAACCATCACAAGCTTTCAGCACAATCTGTCCTTTTTTCAACAAATTAACAATGCAATAACATACTTTGGCGAAAAGATAAGTTGGTGCTGAGTTTAGAACTTTAGATGATGAGTTATCAAGTTTACCTTTTAAATGTAAGAAGCTATCGATAATATAATCTTGTGAGTTGGAATCAATGAGATAGTGTTTTATATTTGAATTATTGTCATAATTATATATTCTTTCACCACAATTTTATATATTCATTACAAAAAAAAGAAAAAAGGCCCTAGGAATATTTAGGCTCAAAGCAACCACATCATTAGATTCATATCATGTACAATCCTGCAATTCTTTGCCATGTATACTCACAGAAACATATGAAATTCTGCAGCACAAATATTTTATATGCGTGTCTATGTGTTTTCATGTTGATTATATTTATTTATTTATTTATTTTTCTTTTGTTTCAAGTTCGTGAATTTGTGTAAACATATTTTTACGCCACTTTTTTTTTTAAAAAAATCATATTCTTAGATGGGGAAATGGAAATGATACTGGGAAATGGCTAAAAAGATGTTTTGGGGGGAAAAATGGTTGGAAAATGATGTTTAGGAAAGTAACAATTGCTGTTTCGACCTATTTGCACTTTTCTTTTAACATACTGAATTACTTTGTTAGACTTATTACAAGCACCATAATGTGCCGTAGAGAAAATCCCAAGTTTATTCTCCTTGATAGACATTTCATCTTTTGTCTAATTCACAGGCAAACTTTCTTATTGGCAAAATTCACATCCTAAACAGGATAAATATGTAAAACACAATGTAATCTGTTAGCCCCATTAAAAAAATCCAAATAATGAAGTCGAGCTTCATATTTACCTGGCATATGCTAAGGCATAAATGTAGCATATAAAAGAACTCAATAAAGGAAGACAGAAAAATGAAGCCATTCCGGGGGAATCTATTCAAACTTTGAAGATCCTTGTTCTCGTGTACTAGTTCGTATGCTGAACTTCTCGTGTTGCTTTTATTGTTTGATGGTTATTTTAAATGCTCTTTGGATACTTAGATGGCATTGATGCTGCGCTGAAAATAACTTCTCTGAGGAGAAAGATGTTTATTTTGACTTGTTCCTCAGACTTGTGTTATATGCTGCAGGGCCATGATGTGGTAGCAATTGCATGTGCCGAGCGTCATGTGGTAGGTATAGACATATCAGACAATGCTATCAAGAAAGCAGCTGAAGTAAGAGTTGTTCTTGTCCATTTCATTAATAAACCGGAATCTTCAATTTGGAATTTACAATCTTGAAACCTAAAAGAAAAATGGATCTCATGTTTTTATGTAATGTTTAGTAATAGGGGTTTGCCACATGCAATTTTCTTGTGGGAAAAATAATGACTATTAGAAACTCCAGTTAAGAATTTTATCCTTTGCATCTTCTGTCATAGACTCCAAATAATGTGTACCACTATCTTTTGTCTCAGATATTTTTTTATATTTCTCGTGTGCATGGCTGCTTCATTTGATCGCCCATACAAGTAATACCCATCTTTATGCTTTCTGCTGTGTGCTTACTGCTTACTGACTCAGTTGGATCGCATTTTGTCATATCCTGTATTTAATTAACAGTCCGGGTTTGTACTTTAATCTCTTGCCGTGTGTCCCTGCACAGTTACTTTTTTTTAAAAAAAAAGTGAATTCCGTGAGACGAATTGCTGCTCTAGTACATATTACACCCAAGAAAAAAATTTCATATGAGTAGACTTCAGACTCAAGCTATTTGATATCTGTAAGTTTTGAAATCCTCTGAATTATGTAACTCCTGGACTAAAGCGACCTTTTAGAACTTAATAGTAAATTTTTTGTCATTACTATAATAGTGTAGGAGTGACGAGATAATTTCATAAGAGAAGTAAAGTTCAACATTATTATATTTCTTGAAAACTATATAAGCATTAGTTTCTTTTAGTTAGCCAGCTAAATTGTCAGTTTCACTTTTACAATGTAGTATGTATGTAATATTATTAAGATTTTTGCTTAAGTTATTGTCTGACATGTTATGGCAGTTGTCATCTCGGTCACCAAATGCAGAGCATTTTACTTTCTTAAAGACGGACTTCTTCACTTGGCATCCAGCTGAGTTGTTTGATCTCATTTTTGACTATACGTAAGTATATGTGGTAATATTTAAATGATTTATTTTCCTGAGTGTTGCATTAGTGTTCATCAGGATACAAAATTGTCTCCACAGGTTTTTCTGTGCCATTGAACCAAAGTTAAGGTCATTGTGGGCAACAAAAGTTAATGATCTTCTAAAACCCGATGGCGAGCTCATAACACTAATGTTTCCGGTTAGTAAATCTTTTCTTTTGCACTTGGCAAAACCAATTTATTATTCTACACGCTGTACTTGCTTAGCAAATGTGAACCATGGACGATGCTTGGAATACCTTGGTGAACAACATTGTGCGATTATGCTGAGTTTGAAATTTAATGGGTTAATCATTAGTTTCTTCACAATTGTAATTTCATTAGCAAATACTAGTTCTATCAATAACCAGTAATTCTTTGCACAAACAATATCTTGGAAATTGATAACTTGAAATATTTATTCTTTCAGGTTCTATATGCTCTGTATCTAGTAATTATCATGTCTTTTTATATAATGTTAATTTTCCTTTCTTATTAGTCATTTAAAAAATATATCAATTTGGCAGATTGATGACCACGAGGGTGGCCCTCCGTATAGCGTATCGGTTACCGAGTAATATTCGACTCAGTCTTCAAATATATATCATCTGTTCCTGTTCCTTGATAAACTTGCTGACAGCAAATCCTTTTTTATCTGCAGTTATGAAGAAGCATTGCACCCTGTCGGTTTTAACGCAACTTATATTGCGGAAAATGAACTGGCTATTACCCCTCGACTGGTAATGATTTCGTGAATACACGCATGCTTATTAATTTGGTTATGCAAATCGGACATATGAACCATGATTCTGTGTATGCTTAGCCTTAGTTTGTATTTATTTATTTTATTTTTGAAATCTATGATGCAAACTTGTGGTTCAGTAGAATTGAGATGACTGTACTTAATTGAATTTCATGGCTGATTCTTCTATTCAATCTGAGATGGAAAGTCTGAAATGTGGCCATTCATTTTTTTTTAATATTTACTTATTTATTTATTTATTTTGGCAGGGACGAGAGAAACTAGGACGATGGAAAAGAATTGGCAGGCAATCCTCACTATGATATAGACTCGTGATGTTTCAAACTGTTGTATCCTTAACTTTTGCATTCAAGATTTTTCAGGCTGTATCCTTAACTTTTGCATTCAAGATTCTTCAGGAGTTAATTGCTATGGAGGAGAGAACGTAATTATCTTTATCTTGTATCATAAGACCACAACTTATGATGTTTCTTTCACTGGTGTTCCAGTTTCTGGTGAATGCGATACATATGAGGACAGAATATTAGGTTAACACTATATGTATAAATAAATCTTCTTTGTATATATAGATGCAGATTTTTCCAGGAGAGGACCAAGATACTATGTCTGGCATGTTTTTTGTGCAAAATATACCTGTATTTGCTTTATGTGATCCTCGTGCCACGCATTCCTTTATCTCGTCAAGTTGCCTAGAAGCAATCGGAATTCAGAACGTCAGTACAGTCGAAGCCTTAGAGGTTAGTCTAGCCTTTGTAGCAGAATTTTGCCTTCCTGAACAAGCCTTTGTTCTGCCCGATTGCCCATACAGCCCAAAATGCCTGTCGGTCACTAGGCTACACGTAGGTATACCCGTCAGTTATTTGGTTCTACTCTCGCCCGTCAGATCATCTATCTCTTTATTTGTGACCATATGTGATCTTTGTTAACAACATGGTCTCAACCTATTATGTTGGTCGATCCATTTCCTATTCAAGCTAATTACCTATTATCATGCCTAAGCTATCATATGTTCGAGTTGTTGGCAAACCTTATTTGTTCAAGCTCTTTAATATTCGAGCTATAGTCATTCCTAAATTGTTCGAGCTCCTTAATGCCCGAGTTATAGATATACCTAAGTCGTCCGAGCTTACTAGTGTCCAAACTAGAGACGTGTTCTAGCTATCCGAGCTACCTGAGCCCTCATACTCCTAAACAAGCAAGCCTAGCTAGCCTTCAGTCTACAAACCGAGCTAATTGTGGTCGGTTTACCCGAGGTACTTTATATGCTTATCATATATAATCAAAATTGATTGCGGAAATTGCGGAGCAAAATAAAATCATTTTTATATTCAGTATTATTGGGGCTAAATGCACAAAGACCAAACAATTCAATAAGGAGTAAAAACTACAATTAGGTAGTTTTTATTGTTGTGAAGTCATACTTTTCAATAATTATGCATATTTCAAAATAAAATGTCATAGTTTGAAAATTATATAACATTTTGTAGCATATGTATTTATTTTCATTAAAAAGTTATAAAAAGTCTCATAATCGTTTTCCCAGGTATTTAGTGTGAGATTGCATGCCATTTTTTTTTTTATTATTTTGACTGATCAGATAATTTTTTACGCATTTTAATCCAAAATCTAATTCAAATTTAATCCAATTTAACTCTCATATTTTTTATCAGTATAATTAAATAATATCAAGCAATCATTCTCACGGATCGCTTCAATTATAATTTACTATTCACCCATTCACATATTTTTAAGTATATATTATTTCAAATAATATATCTCCTACTTTTAAATTACATCTACATTAATCATTACATTTTAAATTTTATTGTAATACAAACTTAAAAATCTACTGAATCAACTTTTTTTTTTTCAAAATTAACTCATTCTATTCAATAAATACAATCGAAACCAAAAACCCGCTTCCAATCACCCTCTGAGCACATCATTCTCAACTCAACATGTACTGTTCGAGGTGTCCATCATTTCCTTAATCAATTAATTAAAATTTTGGCGTCCGCAAAGAAAAGCAAAGATGGAAGCAAAGTTTGACTGAAATGTCTTACAACGTGCCGAAACGATAGTATATGTTCTCTCTCCTTTACCTTTTTTTTTTTTGTTCGATACCCAAGTTCTAAGCTTACGTCCGACTAGTCTTGGACCCTAAGCCCTTGGCCCCTCATTGACTTTGGGGAGTTAAATTGTGGGATGTGTCATGATGGTAGTCGAGCCGTCCCCTTTTATCCATTCGTAAATGGACCTTCAAGGGTTCCTCCTGGGTTTTGAACCCTCCAGCGTAGGTGCCCTTCTCACCATCAGCAGGAATTCTCTCCTTTACTTGATTCAAAGGATAGTGTATGATGCAGCGAAATATATTTTTCATACTTTCCAAAATCGCACCAAATTGGTGGGATAAAAAATCATGCACCTATTGGTTTGGTTCATTTGTCATAATGATAACACTTGTTTGATATAATAATGTGACATTATCCTTGACATAAATAAGATGCAAGCGTAGGAATTGTTGATTGTAAAGTTAATGTGATATGAAAAAAAAAAACAAGATCTTGTCACATATATAGTATGTCAAATCTTAACTCATGCATCATGTTACTGTAGCGTGACTCTTGTCATAATAGGTTGGCGCTGAACACGGTAAAAAAAATAATTATTGACTGCTCAAATTAGTGAAAACAGACAAAAAAAACTTATTGATGGGCAGATCTTTATTTATTAAAGAATTTTAATTTATATTTTTTAGAAAAACACAACATATATATAAATGTCGAACACATATAATTTAAATTATGTGAGTATTTAATTAATAATAATTATAAAATAATGTTACCGAACAAGTTATGTTGATCAGTATAAAAGAGAACTTTACTACCAAAAAAAAAAAATTTACTCGCCAAACATTGTGAAGAAGGAAATGGTGGGAGTTATAATAATACAGAGTCCTTAAAATGGAGTTTTAATAAAAGTAGAGAGATGGTTAAAGTATAATTGATATATAGACTTAAAATATAGAGAATTTTGCACTCCATACGAGAAGATTCCTCAATTTTTGTAACTCTATCATAGTAATTAAAATAATTGCGTATCTACCTAAATCAACATATTTAATTAGATTAATGTCTAAATAAATTTTCGGTATATTGTCAGATATAATCATTCCATACATCTGTCGATTAAAAATTTTCGGTATATTGTCAGTATATTTTCGGTATATTTTCTCATGACATTAACAGGAAGACGTTCGACAGCATATTATCAGTTTATTTTCGGTATATTCTGCCGTTAAAGATTTAAAGTGAGGATGCAATCTCACATCCTGGGGACGCTGCTCGTCGGGGTAGTGACGCATGTCCAATATATTTTCGTCGTGTTTCCTTTTTCTTTTCAGTCTGTTTCAACGATGATTATGAATTTAAATTCAAATATAATATCTTTCCATCTTGAATCCTTAAATTGTGCGCTAGAAATATGGAATTGTTGTTCACCTTACTTGTAACTGTTTTAGGCATAAATATAATTACTTTTTATCTCTTAGGTATATACACAATTTTATTGGTTTGGATGATAATGTTGCAATTACTTAAAAACGGCAAGTATACATAAAAATTTCCCAAATATAGGGAGGTGAAAAGAAGACAAATTTAAAAAGTTTTACAGGGAGATTGTTGGAGTTGTGGGATTATCAACTAAGAGTCTCTCCAGCCCTAGTCTAGATCCTTATCTATAGCTAGAGTTGTGTGGGATTTTATCTCCAGCGCATCTCTACATGCGCCAGATCAAATATATGAATAGTACATCGACAGATGTGGCGATGCACTGTTGTTGCTGCACTACATTTTTTATATTTTAACTGGTTTCATATTGGAACACAAAGTGCATGTTTGTTTTATCTTTATATTTTTATTTTGTTTTTGTAATTTTATATATTTAGGATAATTTTATAAAAATATTTTAATTTACTATAATATAAATTAATAATTTTATAATATTTTGTATAAATAATTTTATTTTTAATTTCTTTAATATTATAATGGTACCTTATGAATAAAAATTTAACATTTTTTATAAAATTAAATATACTATATATACCAATTTATTTGAAAAAATAAAAAATAAAATATATTTTTATTATTTGGGTAATAAATATTTATATATGATTAAATATACATATATATATATATACCAATTTATTTGAAATAAAAATAATAATATATTTAATGTAGAATTGTAGAGATAAGGACTGGAGATGAATGTTTAACTCTACTCTACTCTAGAGTAGAGTAAATTCCGCGTTAAAGTAAAAATAAGCACTGACCTAAGTCAGTTCTAGGTGGTTTCCAATTCTCTATTTTCTTTGATCCAACGGCCACGTGCGTAAGTATGATTAATTAGTTTGGTGTTTTGAAAGTCGATGTCCAAAATTTGGACACGGCAAAGAACTCTCTATATGCTGCCATTCACTATTCACGACAAGAAAACCAAACAACCAACAAAATAAACTAAGAATAGTATACACCAAAATCCCTTTCATGACCCACCAAGATTGTTGTCTCACTGTATCCTTAAACATTATCCTAACTAGCCAATTGTTTGGCCCAAACTTCACATGATTCTCAAGCAAGAAAGCCAATATTATTTATTAACCATACATGTTATGAAGAAGCAAAACAATATCACCCCAAGAAACCATAGCATAACCATGGAAAAACCACAAACAACCTCAAACAATAATGCTCACATTCTTGCAATCCCATTCCCCTTACAAGGCCACATAAACCCCATGCTCCAATTTTGCAACCGCCTGTCGTCTAAAGGAGTTCGCGTCACGTTCGTCACCACAGTGTCCGTTAGCAAAACCCTCCAAACGAAACCCGGAGAATATCGAAATGTCGAAACCGTGCCCGATTCCACAGCCGTCGAAGCCGAAGGCTTAGACGTGTACGAAATCTATATCCGAAACTTTCGAGCCGCCATCTCAAGTGGCCTTCCGGACATCATCGACAAATATCGCGACTCGGGTTTTCCCGTGAACGCAATCGTCTACGATTCGGTTATTCCGTGGGTTCTCGACGTTGCCCACGAGAAAGGAGTGAAAGGGGCGGTCCTTTTAACGCAATCTTGTACTGTTTTTGCGGTTTTCCACCACGTGCACGAGGGCAATTTGGTCATTTCACCGGATGGAGGCTCCGGTGATGTGTCGCTGCCCGGGATGCCGGTTATGGGGGTTCGGGATCTGCCGTCACTTGCTTACGATAAGGACTCTTATCCAACTCTCGCGAGGCTTGTGGTGGAGCAGTTCTCGACGTTTGGAAAGGCCGACTGGCGATTGTTCAACACGTTTGACAAGCTTGAGAACGAGGTATATTATATATCTATGTACATATATTTACGTGTGGTGATTAAAAATGAAATGGAGTTCGGAAGATATTAATTGGGAATCATAATTTTCAAATTCTGATATTGATACCGGTGTACTAGCTAAGAATGTTTGGCGTAGCTATGGACTTTGATACAGTTTAAGAAACAATCACATTTATTAATACTACACGTGCTTGATTATTTTGACCACACAACATGCTTCAACAAAGATAATATGACATTTTAATATTCGTGATAGAGCAGCAGATTAATAATAGTGGATAAAATTGCTAAATAAGCCGAATGATTCGGTTATATATCAATTGCATTCTGTAACTTTTGAGAATACAGAAAATGTCAATTAACTAATTAAATAACGAACATTTTATTGAAGCACTTCAATTTTGGCAAAAATTTTTGCAATTAGTTGTGGGTAAGTTTGTATGATTTTAGCATGTTTGGCATAGTGTGCTTGATTTACATCAGTACGGGACATTTTTTAAGTCAACATATTTTTCATCTCTCCCAAATTATTGGGCATCGTTTATAATTTCTGGCAATTTTTTGCAATTAATCAGTAGGTAAGTTTTGTATGATTTTTGCATATTTGGCATAATGTGCTTGATTTATATCAGTACTGGACATTTATTAACAGAACATGTATGTCATGATCTATCTCAAATTATTGGACATCGTTAATAATTTCTCCCAATAATAATTGTCACGATAGTGCATAATTAAATAATTGGAAAAACAAAAATCATACGAAAAGTAATTTACGCAGTAAAAATGGTGGAAAAGTGATCAAACCATGTTTTAAAAACTATTTGGACAGATTCTAAAATGGATGGCGACCATATACCCGATCCATACAATCGGTCCAACTGTTCCTTCCATGTACGCAGACAAGAGAGTCCAAGGAAACTATGACTACGGGCTCAGCCTCTTCAAGCCCAAAACCGAATCTTGGTCCGAATGGATCGATAAAAAAGAAGCTCAGTCCATAATCTATGTCTCGTTCGGAAGCCTAGCCGATTTATCCGAGACACAAATGGAGGAAATAGCCCGAGGACTAATCCTTACCAAATGCAGCTTTATATGGGTAGTTAGAGAGACCGAGCAACACAAGCTCCCTCAGGACATCATCTCCTCACCCGAGCTAAGTGAAAATTGCCTAATTGTGAATTGGTGCTCTCAACTAGAGATTTTATCTCATCCATCCGTTGGGTGTTTTGTCACGCATGGCGGTTGGAACTCGACCTTAGAGGCATTGACTTTGGGAGTGCCTATGGTGGTCGTGCCACAATGGACCGACCAAACAACGAATGCTAAATTCGTAAGGGATGTTTGGCGGGTTGGAGTTTGTTGCGTGAAAAATGGGGATGGGATTGTTTCGAGAGAGCAAGTTAGGGATTGCGTGAATGAGGTGATGAAAGGCGAGAGAGGGATCGAGATTAGAGGAAATGTTCGGAAATGGAAGGATTTGGCGGTAGAGGCCGTTAGTGAAGGAGGAAGCTCGGATAAGAACATTGGCGAAATTGTGATGGGACTTGTGTAAGTGATCGATTTCAAAATCTCCAAGATTTAGTTTTCTATCATAATAAACTTGAAACATTTATGGGTTTTATTGTATGATCATCTGCATATCATTTTAGGACTCGTTTACTTAAAATGATGGGAAATGACAGTTTAATCCTATCAACTTTACACGTCAGCTTGTGTCCAATGTTTACAAAACATGATGCATTTTACGAAAAAAATAATCAAGCGTTTACTAACCTGGATAAAATGACAGGATAAAAAGTAAATATGAGGTGACAACAAAATATATTTATATGGCCTAAATTTGTAATTTGGTGGACTTCTAAGGGGTAAAGGGGACATTGTCACATGTCAGTTTTGGGACAAAATGATCATTGCTAAGGTGGGACCGGACAAAATAAACCTGCCAATAGTGCATAAAAGTGAGAGATCTACAAGACACATTAACTTATTATCCAATCCCATCATAGTTAGTAAACGTTAGATAACAAGAGTTATCCAACTATATCATATCCTATTATTAAGTAAACGGGGCCTTAGTGTTATTACATATTATCCGTCCTTCAGAATAGTTGGTTGTTATTATATGTGAAACACAGATACTACACTCAATCTTTCATAGGAGATTCATAAAAGCTACACATTAACGTTAAGACTCACAGTTAGCAATAACTCTGAGAGGAAATTTTCGATGAATTGTAATTCCTTCACCCTCCGACATATCAAGATCCTCTCCTTTCAGCCCGACTGGTAACTCAAACTCACAATTAAGGGCCAAATTCGCCAGCACAAGCTCGACTATAACCATAGCAAAAGAGGCCCCGGGACACATCCTTCGACCTCCACCAAACGGAATAAACTGAAACTGCCCTTTTAAACCCACCGAATCATGCAAGAATCTCTCGGGCCAAAAGTTTTCGGGCTCGGCCCATAGTGATGGGTCTCTTCCAATGGCCCACACGTTGATGACCACCCGGGTGTCTGAGGAGATGTCGTAACTTCACAGTTTAACATCTTGGGTTAATTTTTCTATGCAAGGTTATGACTTTAGGACTATTTTTTGGTACAAATCATGACAGAATGTGAAATTCATTAGTTGCAAATGATCACATATCAATTGAAAAAATTTGAACCCATTTGTACATTTTAATTGTCCAAAATTTATTTTCACAAACCAGGCCAAAAAGAAAGCCTAATCTGATACCAGAATGTTCACCAGCTTCTGACAAAGCTTAAAAATAAGAGAGAGAGAGAGAGAGAGAGAGAGAGAAAGAGAGAGAGAGAGAGAGTAATAAATAGAAAAGCCATATTAACATGAAAAGCTTAAAAGTAAGAGCGTAGTACTTATGCCGTTTTCTGACCTCTCCATCTCAAACGAAGCCATATTTCCCCGTCATACGTCCTGTTTTGCAAATCCGACTGGTCTGTCCACTGCACGAGCTGGCCATCGACATGAACTTGCTCCAAATCATGCCCCCAAAAGTAGGGATCGGTCCTGACATTCTTGTTTGCAAGCAACATGTTTAACTGAAACTCCGAGAGCCTGTACTTCCCATCCGACCCGCTCACGAGGCTACCACCCCATATGCAACTCGGTCGACAAACACGAAACAAGCCATTCGCAAACTCCAAGTACCAAGACGCCGTGGGATTTTTACAAGTCCCAAAATTCAAGTTCCGCAACACCACATGCGGCTCGTCACCGAGAACAGCACTACAGGGCACGTCCTGAGGGCCGCCATTCATCCACAGAGTTAGAGAAATCTGAGACCCACTTAGTGCCTTGAGCATTCGTCTCAGTTCAAGGAACCACCAATTGACGTCGAAATCGGGATCTTCCTCACACGAGGAGAGAAATATTCCTGACTCCCACTGCTTGCATGTAGTGGTCGTGAAAGAGAATATGTCCGGCACCTGGGGAATACGGGCAGTGAACGCAAAATAGAGAATGTTGGGGGCACAAATCGTAACTCCCTTAAGCGGTATATTTCTTGTCGAGATGTCCAAGAACTCGACCGAATCACTTGCAAGATGGATTTCCTCGAAACCAGAGCAATCATGTAGGGTCAAGCTCTCGAGAGTTGGGCAGCCGAACGATAAGAGGTCGAACGACTCACTCGACAGGATGACATTCCAGAGATCCAAACTCGTGAGACGAGAGAACAAGAATGCGCTTTGGCGGTGAGACCAAATCCATGGGCCCCAGATGGAGACCGTCTCGATATTCGGGACATAGATTTCGATGCTACGCCCTTCGATCCTCTCAAAATCACGCAATACAAAGTGCTTGAGCCCAGGCGATGCCGTCTCGCTCACCCTAACGTTTCTCAACCCCCAACAATTAGTAAGGACAAGGCGCCTGAGCAAAGGGCAACCCCAAGTTATCTTCTCGAATGTCCCACCATCAAATTTAAACTTTTCGAGGGTGAGCGTGCGCAAACATTTGAACCGCACGCTCTCGACCGGGCTCAGCTTGCAATTGCTCAGGTGTAGTTCTTCGAGGGACTCGGCTAAGAACACTGCCGAGGGCAGGTCGTGAGTATATGAAAGAAAGTTGAGTTTGAAAGCTTTTATGTTGAGGGCAGCTATTATCGGGAACCATTTGTGGAGAAGGGAGATGACCGGTTGTGAGTCGGGGCTGGATAAGTGGAGATGGAGTTTGTGTATGGAGAGGTTTTGATCAAGGTATCCTTGTAGGGTTCGGTTGACTACCGAGATAAAGTTTTGTTGTGTAGTGTCGAACAATTTTTGGGAAGAGGGGAGGTTAGGGCGAATTGATCCTCTGTGGCGCCATGGTCTGCAGAGGTGATAGAGAATGTGGTGCAGTATGGAGGAGCAGTTGACGGAGACAAACTTTTCTTGTGTGTCGTCGAACAATTCTTCGGAGAAGTCGAGATTGGGGAACTTTTCTGGTGTGCCGTCGAACCATTCTTCGGAGAAGTGGAGGTTGGGTCGGGTTGATCCGAGGTGGCGCCATTGTTTGGAGAGTAGACAAGTCCGGACAGCTTCTTTTTGGGAGAGGAAACAGAGAATCTGGTGAAGTATAGGTATTGGCAGGTGGGATATTCTGTCGCCCATGGCTGTTTCTGCCGCTTGCTTTTCCATAGTAAATAATGTGATGTGAGAACGATTTTGTGGTCTGCTACCCTAATGCCGGATATTGTTAATAATAATAATTGNACCTCCTCGACAGGTACGATAATGTATTTAAAAGGATTTTTTTTAATCTTTTGAAATTAGTTTTGACAGGTAAACTTTGTAGTTATCAATTACAATCAACATTGATCATTTAACTGTTTTACTATAGTTACACCAAACTGAATTTAGTGGTTACAGCAAACTGATTTGCTAATAGAAATAGTTCCAGAGAGATTTTCTCGCAGTTTCGGATACAGAGTTTTTCTAATGGCGTCTGCTATCATGAAATGGGTGGTCGACCCGAACTGCAATCCCTCGCCGCTCTTCACATGAAAACGTTGTCCAATCGCCTCAAGAAACACGGTCCTTTTTCTGTTTGGGTACAGATTAAATTCTCCGCGTGTGTCATCTGATTTGACCTTTTTTCTCATATATTTCGTGATTTGGGAAACCAGGTCTTTGATGTGATGATCCATACGACCCAATGTACGATCGAATCCTTGTTAGGTGCTGAAAGAATTAGGGGCATTTATAATTGATATGTGGATTTGCATATCAATTTTGGCTCTAAGCGTCTAGGTACTGGTTTGTTTTGGGATTTGCGTTTTCTTCTTGTTTGGATGCCAATTATTTGCTTGATTATAGGGAGACAACCAGGCTGCTTTAAGTTTCTTATCCATTGTGAATTGTGGCCGAGATGCTGAGGCGAGATAATAGTTAATTTATCTTATTTTTTGTGCTTCTGTTTGAGCTGATTCAGGGGCTTAACCATTAGAAGAGCCAGCAACATTAATTAGCCCACAGTGGGTGATGGTTGCTTATGCCCTGAGTTTCGTGTTTTGTGTTGTGGGTCGTCTTCTTTGCCGAGTGTTTGGTCTTCCATTGTAGTGTGGTTTACTGGTTTAGTTGCCTCCTTGTAGGAGTGTGCTCTTCTCCTTTGCATTGTCTGAGCAAGGAGCCCTCTTTGACAGTTGGCTGCAGTTGTATGTTATTAATTGAGTTGAATGATATATCATTTCAAAAAATAATAAAAAGGTCAAAACATGGGCAGAAAATCATTTAGTCCATTGCATGTTCATTAAAATTAAGTATCCCTGCCTGACTAGGAAAACTATGTAATATGTGCTGACCAGAAAAAAAGGCGTGAGTTATGTTTATTTTGTTATATGTTACATATGTAATGTTTGTTTGTGAAGGCTTTGCAAGCAAGTGTTGATGGATGTCCTACTGAAGTAACTCGTTCGAAAGCATCACTTACTAATGACTAATGAGCAACTTTTGGTGGACAAATATGCTACAAGTTCATTTATGGAACTTCTCAATGATGAGCAGACAAACCGTGACGTTGATTTGCCGCTTTATTATCACAAAAGAATTAATAGGCTAGGGCTTTATTACATGGCTTCCCAAATCACAAAACCCTAGAAACGCCTCAACTACAAAGAGGAAGCTCAACAGCAGCTGAAGAACTGTCGAAAATGGTGACTTACAAGAAGAGGTTAAGGCATAAAGATGAGCGTCAAAATCTTGTGCATGACAAGCATTAGAATGATTTCAGTATATGTTGCTTTTATAGTCAATATATTTTCAATATACGTTGCGTTTTTATTTACATAACATTTCTCCACCCCGCGCGCCGCCAATTTCTACCCAATCATCACCACCATCCCTTCCTCCCTCCTCTACCAAACTCGTCGGTTACAAAAAGGGCGATAAAACCGCCGGCCTGGACCGGCTCAAGTCCTACTTCCACTAAGCTACCTCGACCTCGACCCCTCCACCAACATCTCCGACGACCTCTTCGATGACGGCCTAGAGTCCTCTGTCCGCCCCTACCGCCGCCATCCGCTCATATTAGATGAGAGAGAGAAGAGATGAGAGAGAGAGGACAATGTTTGGGGATCAATTTTTTAATTAAGGTAAATTAATTTTTAGCCCACCTGTCAGCATATGTTTTAGGATATAAAATCTTTCCATGTATAACAATTTTCTCT